TAAAATGCTTACAGATCTCATAGTAATTGGCTCTTTTCTCAGACTTGGAGGGTTTAGAGTATGTTTTTCAGCTTGAGACAGATTTTTTTTAATCTGGTGCTAAGGTGAAGTATCATGCAATAGCATTAATGTTATGATTTACTGGAGCCCATTAAATCCAATTCATCATCTTATATATTTCCATTGCAAATTGGGTGTCTAGTTTCCTTTATAGCTCAGTTTTCAAGCATCTTGAAGTGCTGAGAAAGTTAAACTACTCACATGTTGTACATACTGGAACTTAGTGAAATTTAAATATATTTTTTAATTTCTTTTAATTATTATTTGCCTTGATTTAGGGATGAACTTTAAAAATGAGACTGGAGAATATCTGCCCTTCAGCCCACTGATAAATTCTTTATGTCCATTCTTTGCCTGGCAAGAAGAAATTTTTACTGGCTATTTGGTAGTCTATCATTTTCAGTTGTACTTCAGGTTTGCCAGTGAGAAAAATCCAGCAAAGTAAATTAAATAATCTTTCTAAAAGTACAAAGCTGGTGAGAAGCGTTTTATCCAGTTCCACTTGCCATGTTTAAATTTGAGTTCCAACAAAACACAAGATGTGAAATCAATATGCGATATTAGAGGTAGTTTTAATACACTTTTTGATGCATTTATTTATAATAAAAGCATTTATGTGCATTGCAAACCCCTTAATACAAAGGGGATGGTTTAAGTCTCATCAGCACTTGTCCTTATCTCAAAATATGTAGTCAGTTCAGCATCCCCAGAAATTCATAAATGTGCATTCATAAATGAAAGAACGATACCTCTTGGCAGTCTGGGCATTAACATTCGTGGTTTAGAACAAGTCAGAGAATCTTCTCACTGGGGCAAATTCTGCAGTTGAACTTTTCCATATGTTAATAGCAGGAGTGATGGGAAGGCTTATATTGTTATGTGTGAAAAAATAAAATAAAAACAAATGGAAAATAACACCGAATTTATGCTCTTTCTTCCTCAGGGTGATAATACTTCTTTGCACAGTTCTAGGGTTAAAATATTTTTTATTGAAGGGTTGTTTTCTCTTGTGAATCACAAAGAGAAGGTATGAGGACTGTTAGGGAAAAACTGCGGGTCTATTAAATTTACATTCATACCAGGGTTAACATTAAGACTTTGGGACTCGTTTCTCATTTGCTAGGATGCAAATGTATTCCATATTTTACAAACACTTCAAGGCTGTTTTTTTCTGCCAGAACTGTGAAAAGTGCCCAGAGGGTAAACAAGAATCAACAATTAGCCTGTAGCCAAAGCCTCCAGCCTCCAGTCTGGATTAGGACTGTTGAGCAAATGTCTGTAACAAGTCCTCAAGATTGCAGTCTTTCCAATGTATTATTCAAAACTTGAATTACTATCAAATCAACAGGGAGAGAATAGCTGTTTGAGGGTTAGACATGAAAGTGCCAGAGCTTGCACCTCCTTTTCCATGTCTGTAGGTAACTTTCTAACTTTTTGAAAGAGTTCTAGCAGACTTTCTCATAATCTGTGTTATTATTCCACTGTACTTTGGCTGATAGCTTGTGCAAGTGACCAATAAACCACTCAACCAGCACAGGTGGTTTCTGACAGCAGGAGCTGACATTACCTGTAAGTGCTGTGACTGAAGGTAGTGTGCTTTGCTAATAAAAACCTGAGGAATTCCAAGGTTAGTTGAGTCTAGGCCCACCAGAAATATATTTTCCATCCAAAATATATCTGCCATTGTTCTTGGATATTGCTTTTACCACTTAAGCTCTCCTGGAGCAGTAGAATTCTTGAGTCCTGTTTTTCTATGTGTCACTTTCCTGCATCCATCCATGATTCTGTGAAGCCAGAATGAGAAGAAATAGCTAACAGCATATGCTATGCTTCCCTCCTTGAAAGAATTATAAAGCAAATAGGCAGGCACTGCTTTGCCCAACAATTTGCTCTTGGTTCTGTACCCAACCCAAACAGTCTTTCTCTGGGATTATCCAATACTTCAGGAACCACAAAGATTCAAAATCTCTTGTTCCAGAGAAGAGTTGGGTTGGAGAAGAGATCTCTATTATCTCCACATATAACCACTGAAGATGGGATTTCAGCACTTGGATTAGTAATATTTGGTCAGAGCAAGGATTAAAACATTTAGAAATCCTTTGCAATACAATGAGAAACAAAATGTTTGGGAAGATTGATTATTTATTTGTTGTTTTTTGCTTCTTTGTTTTGTGTAGAATTTTTGAGAGTCCTCTTTAGATTTTTATTGAGAAAGTAAAAGAATTACAACACAAAATTGGGTTAAAACATGCAGGTCTTATTTCAGCAAGTGCCTTAAGAAAATAAAATTATACCCCAGCACAAAAAGCACATGTGCATTTTGTGGTCAAATTTCCTGAATAATAAAAGCAATAGACCTTGAGCAAATAATTGCAGTGACACGATGTGTAAATTCTCTAGTTCCTGAAAAGTCCTCAATATTTTGGAAGTAAGTACCAGAAAATTGAGGACAACTCTGAGCCCTTCATATTTCTAAACTCAGTTTCCTTGTACTTATTTCATATTTCCCACATGAGAGACAGAAGCCCTATCTAGTAAGCATCTAACCACAATTTAGAGATTGAGGTAGCAAATAAGTAAAAGGGACTACATTCCTGTCATTTTCTGTTGCTATGATCCTTCTCCTCAAGACTGCATGAGATGTGATGCAGAATATACCAGATAGGGCCCTTGTGAGAATAAAGGAATTGAATATTGCAAAGTGGTGCAATGGGAGCCATATATAAATGCTAAGATAAATACAGATTTGATAAATTACCAGCAAAGGCACTGGAGGGAACAATACAAGACGACGCAGTCAGGCTTTTTCATCTCATTCTCACGACCCTTAGAGAAGACATGGCTTTCCAGAACTCTGCACCTGAGGCAAGATGTTTTAGTCATTTTATACATAATTACCCCTTGAGACCTCTCAGATTCTAGGATAATGAAACGTTGCTCTAGGTCTTCAAGTGTGGTGATATACGGATGTCCATTTCAGGATAGGAAAAGATGCAGTAGGTCCACATTTCTTAGCTCTGATTGCACAGCCAATGTGAGTAAATGCAGTGAGAAAGGATGGTTTCTGTAAAAAAATCAGCTTAGCTGCACCTCTTGTTCTGCACTGCAAGGGTTCGCTCCTAAGGCTTCCCACACCATGGCAGGGCAGATAGGCAAGGCTCTGGGATTTGCACTGAAGACAGCTCCTACAGAGCTGAGGATTTCTCCCAGCTATCTGTGCTGAGCAGACATTTACCTCAGCTTTATGTGTACTAGCACCTAAAAGCTAATTTAAAATCAAAGATTTCAGGCATCTAGTGAGAGGAGAATAGTCATCTTTGCTCCTGACATCCCTGTTTCTCAGAGCTGTTAAGTGAAATGATAATTTGCTACAGAGGAAGTATATTAGATAGAATACATTTTTACAGGAATATCTCTACTAAGGAACACCTCTATAAAAGCTATTTTGTCTTGCATCATTTTGCCTGTCAGAAATATTACTTACACTAAAATCCTTAATGTGAGATACCCTATAAAAAGTTGTTTAATTTAATAACATTCATTGTATTAGTTCCCCCTAAAGTAATCACTTTGTTGAGAACACACTCTGTGTTCCTTTATTTGATCTGGGAATAAAATTATCCTGTCCTTACTTTAGTACCTCCTTCTTATTCTTTCTAGAATAAATAAACACTAAGCTGGGACTGCAGAGCAAGCATTGCCTCTCCCTGTTATAAACCTTTTGATTTTTGTGATGAGAGAATTTTTCTGCACAGCGATCTGTTTAGAATATGCTTGAAGCACTACATTTTCTTGCTTTCCTCTTTCCCATGTAGATACATGAGTAACCACAGAGAGTTCCTGCTGTCCCAGTAGACTATATGTCCTATCAAGTTCTCTGTCATTCTCATAGAACTGATCAAGATATTTATCACTAAAAAAATTATCTGCTATATCAGACACTAATTTTAGTAAAATTTTTATTATAGCAACCAAAGCCGCCAGTTGGGAGATTTTAATCCTTTTATATCAATGAAATATATGGCAGCCCTCTGCTTCATAAAGTCTTGGTTAAAGGGCTTGCTTTGTGCACTGCTCATCTACACGGCCAACAGAGCTGCTAAACCCATGGTGTGTCTCCTGCACCGTGGTAAAAACTGTCACAGTCAAACTGTCACAGTCACCAAGGGCTGCAACACCTGCTGGGTAAAGGCTGGACATCCGCCCTAGAATGTGGTAGCTTCCTAGCTATGCCAGCCAAAAGACTTCAAGTCAAAAAGCAAAAATCCCCACAATTAAATCCAAAACCTGTGGAATAACTGGGTCTTTCCAAGCCAGGTGGGAGCACGGTGATAGGTCTTGGAATCCCAGGTCAATGCTGTATCCACTCACCTTTATGTCTCTTTAATTTCCCACAAAGCTGTAAACATGGATTTTGTAGACTGATTGTGTGTGGTATTCCCATACCCTCTGAGCAGAGAGAGGCTTGGCTTTCTCAGGATTTCTCCTGAGAGAAGCAGAGAAAAGAGAATCAAAACAATTCTTATCTCATTTGCTGCTGCTGTGTTTGTGCCCATGTGAAATGTGGTATGGAGATTGTTTACCCAAGGTGATTGCTTGATTGGAATCTGGGGATGGTTGTTTGGATTCATTGACCAATTGGATCCATGTGTGTGTCAGAACTCTCAGGAGAGAGTCACGGGTTTTCTAGTTTTGTGTATTATACACATGTACTAAACATCATCAAAATTCTTGTTGAAGAAAAAATAGAAATTCCTGGCTTTATTTACTAGAAAAGAGTGTATGAAATTGTGAGATGTAAATGTTTGTAAATGTAAAGCATGCTTTTCATTCTTAAGAAACACTGAATTGCATGGTTTCTGAAAGTCCAAACTGGCAATCTGTTTGAGACACCACCAGCTTTCAGGGGATGTATTTAATCAAAATGTTATTATTTGCAGGTTTCTTTCTACCTCAGAAGACACAAAGTTCCTTGTTGCAATGTTTTCTGTTGGTGACTGGGGCTAATGAGGAGATGTAAAACCACAGTGAATCCAGTGACTGTTTCAAATCCGGGCCTAGTAAGTATTGTTCATTTGATGTTTAATCTTGTATCTGACCAAAGTAGGTATTGTTCATTTAGTCTTTAGTCTGGTATGTGTCTGATAAAGGCATGTGAGGAATGAGTTAACAGTGTCACTGCAATTTGCCAGGCATTTGTAAGAAATGATCTTCCAAACTGATGTATTTATTTGGTAGCACCCGTGAAGAAGCTAGCAACACACCAGGAGCAGAAATCCTGTCAGCATTAGTCAAAGGACTGAAACACTCAAAGAAAAAGAATAAATACCCTGGGCTTATTCCTGGTTTTCTTCATCAAGAACAGCACTTCTTTGTTCAAATAACATCTGAGAGTTTCGTTAAGCAGTAGAAAGAAGGTGGCTTTATGAAGAGAAGTGCACACCTAGATATCTTCAGAGCAGATGGAAATTTGTGTTTCACCCGTGTACAGAGCATGTGAAGCTAATTACAAGCCCTGGAAAAAGCAAAATACCAGACCTTCCTACACCTCTGTGCCTCATCCCCAGCCATTGAGGAATATGGTGCAACTGCAAGGTTAAAAATAAGTGAGTCCTAAGATCATGTTTCTCACTTGTCATACAGACAACATTTAATTTTATTTACCTCTAGCTGATTTTCATCAGTTTTGAGAGGATCACTATCACAGTCAGGCCCTCCTCTCACCCCTTACAAGCCTCATGTTTATTTAAGTTTGAATCCTCTTTGCCAGAATTCTGAGACCTGATGTCCTTTCCATTCTTAAAACCAGAAAAGGAGGGATCACAGCTCAGTGTTTTTTTGGTACTTTGAGAAGCTTCCTGCTCTCTGCAGTGCCAGGAGGGGTAGACCTCTGCTCTGAGCCTGAGCCCCACACTCTGTCACCAGAGCCCAACCAAAGCAGCTCCACTGCCCCATGGGCAGCTGTGCCCAGCTGCAAACTTCCCAGGGACTGAAAATGCAGCTCAGTATTGACAGCTCTCTCAGGCTTGTTAGGCCCAAAGCATCCACATTTGGTCTGGCAAGGACTTTAATTTTCTTCATTTTTTTTTCCTAATTCTCTTTAAGTTAGACAAACTGTAAGGGGATGAATATAAACAAGGAGCTAGTAGGATGTGTAGCTTAAGAGGAAACATTATAGATTATGAGCTGAGGGACAGGGCTCAAAAGGCAGCAATTCAGAAGCCAGTCAGAATCATCAACTAAATTTTTCTTTACTTATTTTAGGGTTTTTAGTGCCCTCTGGAAGGACATCAACAAGATTTAGACAGAAGCATATCACTACTGTAATGAACACTGACAAAAAAATTGAGAAACTGGAACTGGAAATGCATTTACAATACTTCTCTGGGAATTACCACTATAATTACACCAGTTTAGAAAGCAATACCTTTGTAAGTGCTTTTACCCCATCATGTATCACACGAGGGATTATAGCATTTTAATGACCTTGGTGGCTAAATTGTACAATATCTATAATAGTATGAAATCTAGGAGAATTTTTGGCCCCATTGAGGCCATAGAAAATCTCCTACTGACTTTGTTGGAGCCAGCAAAATCCATCCTAATTTTTCAGGTGGCCAGCTCCAGCCACAAAAGGGGCTTGTATTTTCCCCACACTCTTAAAATAAGAGCTAACTGATACTTTTCAAATACTTATGCTACAAATGCCCTGAATTATATTTCATGAAAGATGTTATGACATGGAACACACTGTTTCTTCATGAAACACACACCTTTTAATAGCAGTTATTGAGAGGGTGATACATACATCACTATTTCTCCTGTCACCAAATGAAATGAAATTCATAGATCTGCTCTTAGCTAATGGGATACACATTTTATGGCTAAATAAGGCCTTGAAAATGAAAATCTTCTGTCCTTCTCAGGAGGATATAGATCCAAATTAAATGAGCAAGTTACATTAAGGCACCTGTAAACCTTGAAAAGGGTGTATTGGCTTGTTCATTGTTCTTATAGATAATAAACTCACCCATCAAACATCTAAAGAGCAAGCCAAGGAAAGCAAATGTCACCCTGCCTTTGCTTCCCTTATATGTTTTCTGTTTTCTGAAATTGAACATATCTTCTGTAGATAGGACTATAAGAGATTGATAGATACCTTAAGATTGGTTTGCACATGAAAAGGTAATAATTGATCCCTGGCCACTTCATGAACCAGCATTTAGTGTGTTGTGCAATTTCAGAAATAAATCAGAATAACTACCTGAAGAATAAAAGGAGGTAAAAAAAGCTCACTTTCCTTCAGTTTTAGAAAATATATGTTGTGTTAGGGAAGGTGTTAACTGACAACATGTTTTAACTGACATGGCAATAAATATGACCAAGCACCAGTATTTTCTCCAGTGTGCAAACTGCCTTTGCAAGAGCCTGGAGAGATTCCCGCTGCTCTCTGCAGGATTTGGCTTGAGCTCCTCTGCAGGAATTAGTTTGTGCCAGTGGAAGTAAATAGATCCTTGGGGATGCTGCTGTTGCCATTGAGGTATTTATTTTTATAATAACTTTTTGGCTGGTACAGAGATAGAAAGACACAACCATAGCTCTTGGATGCACAAGTCCACACCATTCATCCTTATCAGTTAGAGCCCTTTCTGAAGACAGAAATACTAAGAGCCATAAACTTGGGGGCCTGGCTAACAATAGCACCCTGATGGCTACTGGCTATTCTGGGAGCAGCTTCTTTCCCAGTGCTCTGCAGTGCCTGCTGGTGGCTCCCAGCTGGTGGCTACCAGCAGCCAAAGCCGACCCCTTGGACCACAGGGTAATGTGCAACAAGGGCAACAGATCATAGGATTTGTCTTACTCATAACAGAGCCAGTAAAATGCATTTCTTAGGCAGGAGCCTCTCTTACTGTTTACTGTTTCCAGTGTCTGCTCACACTGTGCTTTATTCAACAATATTTTCTCTAGTTTGGCCCCTTCCTGGCTAACAAAGCCCCACTCTGTCTGAGAAGCTCTTCTAACTTCCAAAACTGTCCCAAACAAATTACTCTGTTCTTAATTTCAAATCAGGTAGGAAACACTACCAGATTTCATTAGCATGCTCTTCCCTGGCCAGACATGAATTCATAACTTGGAGAAAACTGAGACGATAATAAGACTGAAAGGGCTGGTGAGAATGAGACAGCACTTTCACATCACGTGTGCTCTTTTATCAGTACTTACAGAATTTGAACACAGAGTGGAGCCCTGTAGATTTGGCTGGTTTTCACCTTTTAAGAGTTGCTTTCTCACTTATTTCCTGTTTTTTTTACCAGCAGGCCCAACCACATCCAGAACCTAGATAATAGTTGAGTCAGTGTCTCTGCCAGCTTTGTTTAAACTCCCTTTTCTACACTTTAAACAAGGTTGGAGCTCCACTTATTCCCTTTCTGATGCATAACTTAAGTAAAACTTGACTTGAGGCCAACAATATCTAAGAAAGGAGACAGAAAGTTTGGGCAGGATAGGAAATAGGTAATTTTGCTGCTGTTGCAAGTGCTGGAATATAGACACAGCGTTTTCTAATAACTTTCTCCAGCTGCCAGTTACTTGTTCAAAATGAAACACATATACTGCAGGGGGAAGAAGTGATGTGTTTTTAGGTTAAAAGAAATGTTGTCCAACATCTGTTTGCCACATGGTAGCCTTAACCAAAAATTTTCCCTCTTCCCAGCCATTGCTTGCCTTGCTGTGCACCCATTGGTCACCTTCTCCACTCTAACAGTGGCTGCATGATTCCAGAATCTGTAGGCTTCAGTTTGTTCTCAGCCAACCCAAACTCCTATTGGAGTTCACCTGGTGAAGCAGTCAAAAAAAGGGATTGAGAGACTCAAAACACGGTTCAGAGCACCAGAGTCCTCCGAGTTCTGGCAGGAACCAAACACGTCTTTGGTAGGTGGCCTCCACAGAAAATCGTGAGCCCTCTGAACACGGGCTCAGCCACACAGCAAAGCCTAGGTTAACCACGGGCGGCTGTAACACCTTCAGGGGTTGTGAGCAGAGCCACCAAAGGCCCCTGAATCCCAGAGCCCAGGCTCCCTCTCCTGGCAGAGCACTGCACGGGAGCAGGAGCGGGGTGCTCCCCGGCACAGCCAGCCTGAACCCCAGCTCACTCTGCCGGAACGGAGCCCTTAGTGAGCAGAGGCTCCTCTCTGCAAGGAGCCCAGTGCTAATCACGCAGCTCCAGCTCTACCAGCAGATTAATACAGGATTAGCAAAGGCAAAATCTATTCTAGTGGAGAACATCTGCAACATAGCTTTAGCTGCATAAAAAATATGTACTTGAGCACAGATAAAACTTCATTGCTGCTCATTATCTGCAGTCCTTAAGGTTGGGGGTAGTGCCATTTATTCTCTAATACTCTGATACCAGACTGACTCATGCAACCGTGCCATGTTCCTCTCCAACACCACAGCCTTCTTCTGTTTGCTGTTTCCTGTACACACTGAGCCCACAGAGTGCCTCCCCAGACTGCAATTTTCTCCTTGAGAAGCACACATCTACTGGCTAGATGAGAACCTGTCACTGTGGCAGGTCATGTACCACACCAGGGATCTCAGTAGCAGTCTCCAATCCTTCAGGAGCATGTGGCATTTCCATATGGGAAAGGACAGCTATTGCCTGTCGATCTGGAGTTGCTTCAGTGACATCCCTGCTTGGTGAAACACATCCTGGCACCACATCTTTGGTCATCGTGGCAGTGGCAGCAGCAGAGCTGGCAGTGTGACACCTGCCTTCATGGCCCAAGGCTGAAGCAAGATCCTTCCCAGCCAGCAGCATGTGCTTCCACAGCTTCAGGGAATGAGCTGGCTCCTAATATGCAAAAGACAACAGAGCTCACCCCAAGCACACAGGCCACTGCGAGTGACCCATGCTGCAAGCCACGTGCAGGTACATGAAATTTGGTCATCTCAGCCATTGACCATTAGCACTCTGGCTTGGGCACACCAGCAGTTTATTTCTGCAGTGTTTTGATTCACTTATTCAGCCACCATGGGTGGCTGAAGTCCACTGAATGCCTCCTTAGCAAGTGGTTGGGCTGGGATGCTGGGGAGAGGGTTTGTTTGCATCAGACCTTCTCCACCCCTGCTATTTCTATGGAGAAAGAGGGAACAAGGTTTCCTGCCCAAGTAGAACAACAGGTCTCTCTTAGGGCTCTTTCAGTCTTTGGCAATGATGTTACAGCTCCTGTTTATGAGGAGCTGGAGGCAGCTCACAGATGTGCAAGCTGGTTTCTGCTGTGGTTATGTTTTTGTCTAGGTTTTACACTGGTGCAGTTTTCCCAAGACAATGGGTCCTTCACAGGTCAGTGTCTTACTTCAGGAGGCCCCTTCAATCTCCAGCACCAACTACAGGTCCTGCTTAAATGCTAAGGCCTTACGTTCTTAGAGGTCCATAAAGCAAAGCCAAAGCTGCACAGAAGCCATTCAGTCAAGCCAGAGCTATGGCTTATAAATTATTTCACTGTAAGTTAACCATCTCAATTGTAGGAGACTTTCTATATATTAATCATAATTAAATTACTGTCTCTTCCTCAGGGAGAAAAAATGAGATAATAAATAAGAAAGAGGACAACAAAGGGAAAAGGATACTTCTGGATATTACAAAGATGTCTCAACTTCACTAGCGTATTAGGTATCATAGTCAACTTTATTACTATAATGCCATTTATTACTATAATGCCAAATTTTCTTCAAGAAACAAAGGTTTCTCCCCTGCAAATGCTCACACATTACCTCAGTCTGCCCTCAATCCTGCATCAGATTGTGCTTCTATGCTGTTCTGAAAGAACTTTACTATAAGAAAATTAAGATTCTTTGTGACCTGAAAAGCAGTGGTTTCATTTTTGTGCTTTGACTCTCTTTAGAATTTTGTCCCTAGTGGTTATTATGTTTCTATGATAAAAACAAAGCTCTTTACTAATGTACTATATTCTGGAATATGTCTCATAACTAATCATTCCTCCCAACTTAAACAGCATTACCAGTGTTAATGGATTGTACCTAGTTTTGTTTGTTCAATCTGGTATTTGAACTGAGGATATATTTTGAGATATCTGAATATACTAATGATTTTTCTCACATTTTTCTTCTAATGCTATACCTACTTTTCTCAGTTTGTACATGTTTGAAATGGTGGTGTCAATCCTGACCAGCAGAGATCCCAGACTGAGTCCTTCCTCTGAAGATGACAGGCTGCATTTCCTGAATTAACAGGCCCAGCACAAGGCTTGCTCTCACCACCCTTACTCAGGCAAGAAGCCCTTTTCACATTGCTGATACACATGAGGTTTGTGCCAATACATGGGGCTGATAAGTGTTCTGTAGCCATAAGAACAAGCAAGCAGTCAATTACCTAAACTTTGTAATTGATCACAAATGTGGAGAAGTTCTCCATCAGAGTCTTTAAATCAAAGCTGATTATCTCTCAGAATGGGACAGTCAGTTTAGAAATGGTTGGTGGTGACACAGAAATTATGGGGCAAAGTAGTTATAAGGCTGCTTTTATGCAGCAGACCAGACTAAAGACAAGTGCTGGATTCTCTACCTGGGACAGGACAGCCCCAGATGTGTGTATAGACTGGGGAATGAGAAGCTGGAGAGAAACCCAGAGGAAAGAGCCCTGGGGGTCCTGGCCATGGCCAGTTGAATGTGAGCCAGCAGTGCCCTGGCAGCCAGGAGGACCAGCCCTGTCCTGGGGGGCACCAGGGACAGCATGGCCAGCCAGGCAAGGGAGGGGATTGTCCCGCTCTGCTCTGCCTCACCTCGAGTCTGGGGGCAGTTTTGGGCACCAAAACATAAAAAAGACCTTGAGCAGTTAGAGGGAGTCCAAAGGAGGCCCCGTGGATGGTGAAGGGCTTGGAGGAAGCTGAATGAGGAGCAGCTCAGGCCCCTTGGTCTGTTCAGCCTGGACAGGAGAGACCGAGGGCAGAGCTCACTGCAGTTCCAGCTTCTGCTGAGGGGAAGAGCAGGGCCAGGCTCTGATCTCTGCTCTGAGGTGACACTGACAGGAGCTGAGGAAATGCCCTGAAGCTGAGTCAGGAGAGGTTTAGGTTGGATATCAGGAAAAGGTTCTTCACCAGAGGGTGGCTGGGCACTGAACAGCTCCCCAGGGCAGTGGGCACAGCACCAGCCTGGCAGAGCTCCAGCAGTGTTTGGACAATGCTCTCAGACACAGGGTGTGACTCTTGGGGATGATCCTGTCCAAGGCCAGGAAATACATGATCCTCATGGATCTTTTCCAACTATGTTATGATACTATGAATTTTTATCTGGGGAGTGTGCTGTGTATGCCCAGAGGCACTATTTTTTATTATTTTGCAGAGCTGTGCATCTGTGGGTGGAGCTGTCATTCTGCCTCCCAGGTGTCTGTTATGGAAGAGATCTTGAAATGGACTGTGTTGTGTAGAAAACATTCACTGCCTCACCCCCAGCAGCTGCTGATGCATTAGGAGGGAGCTGCCCACCTTTAGTTTACAGACCAGTTTGGCCCCACAGCTTGCTAGGTAGACAGGCCAGCACACTCATACTGGTACCAGGAATCTTGCTACTGATTGTGCTCACCCAACTATGCTGTATCAGCATGTCCAAGACTAGTTACAGCTAATAAGGCTCTATCTGAAGGGAAAAATGAGACTAGAGTGAGATTTATGACAATTCCAAGCACAGAATAAGCAATATGAACAGATGAGCCTCAAAGAATGGTTAGGTGCTCTTTACATACAAATATTTCAGAGGGAAAAATAAGAAAATAATAGAATGAACTACAGCAAACACTTTTTCTAAATAGAGGTTTTCTGCATTTCCCATGACAGTCAGTTGAATGAGGGAAGAAAAAAAAAGAAAAGGGAAGAGCAGAAACTGCTTGCAAGACAGAAAAAACCTTGAGTGCCAAGAAAACGCTCCAGATTTTTTTAGAGATGCACAGCTCTTATCTCAGTCCTGATTCATCACAGTTTAGTCCCAGAATTATTCAGAATTCAAGGACCTTGCTTCTGCGGGGTTAATGGGTTACATTCAGCAGTGAAACCCATGACACAAATAGCTGCTTAATTATTCAATCCAGACAGGATTTAGTGGTAATAGAAATAAAAATAACAATGGCAAAAATTGCATTGTTTTACATTTTATAGGTGAAATGATTTTTTCTCTTAACTGTATAATTCAGGACTGTGCACAGGCAGGAGGAGGCCCATATAAAGGAGGGGTTGTGCTGCTTGTGACACAAAAGATTAGCATGCCCATAACTGAAGAGGAGGAAAAGGAAAACACTGCCATAAAAGTGACAGTAGAGGTGAAGAATTGTGGTGAATGTGTAATGCACCACTGAAAAGACACAGAAGAAAACATAGCAAACTAAAAGTCTTATCCTATCTACCCTGCTATTCCAAAACACTGCCTCATCTGAAGGGAAGAAGCTGCTGTTCTTGTTGGCTCACACCATTTGTTCATAAATACAGGCAAGAAATGCTGAAGTGATAAAATTGCCATAATTATTATCTTTGTTCAGGAAATGCAGTGGTGGTTTTCCACCTGGAATTTCATTCAGCAGCCCTTGTGGCTTTACCAGTCAGGAGCTAAAGGCACCAAGCACAACTGCCCTGGGAGCAACCACAGGAAATCAGCACCTGAAATGCACCAGCCACTCGGGGTGTCAAAGGAAGTCACAGACACAGGAGCACCTGGAGTATGGGTCAGTCCTGTTATGAGGATTTGTGTGCAGTAACCAAAGATGCAGTGCCAAAACAAACCTGGCAGACATATGGCACTCCAAGAGCAGGCAAACCCCATGGGAATCAATGGGTCTAAACTGGGGGTTCTGGAAAAGGTCACACTTAGCATTTATTTAATTGAGCCCTGTTTTGAAAGCATGCTGTGCAGCAGGATGGAAATAGGAATCCATAAGATATAAACAGGATCACTTTAAATCCAAATCATCACTAAATGCAATGCTGCTGTGTATGGGGAATATCAAATTAGGGGGCTGATTCCCAACCCCCACCAGATTCTTGTCTTTCTGCAGCTTCCCAGGGGATGAGCTACAGGTAGGACTTTCCTGTTAAGCCCTGGTTAAACAGATATCTGAGTTTGGCTAGGGCTCATGGTAAAGCAGGCTAAATTCCTTGTTCAGTTGATGACACTGGCAGTCCTGGTCACTTGCTCTCTTATCTTCTCACTGTGATTTGCTTTGGTAACTGGTCTGATGCAAGTGGGGTGGGAGTGTGTGTGTTAAGCCAAAACATTTTTTAGCTTAAAAAAAAAAAACAAAAAAGAATTTTTCACATGTAAAGTACCCAAGTCAGAGCAATTTAAAAGGCTGAGTTTGGGATCAAGTTCTGAGTCACATCCAAATTTCTATCTTCCTCCTTTTTCCCTCCCCATCATTGTTTTTCATCATGTCATCAAAAAAGAGGGGAGCAAAAGGAAAAAATGTAATGGCAAAAATGCCAGAATATCCCTATACCTCTCTTTGTCTCTCTCTTTAAACATTTGAAAAAGTTGAAGTTTTTACAACAGATTAAACAAATTTGGGCTATATACCTTGCGTTTTTCTCTAGTGTATTTCATACTGTGCAGCAGTCAGATGAAAGTTGTGTTTGGATAAATTGGGAATAAAAGGACTCTGTTGTGTTCTTCATAGAATTTACATAAGGCCTGCATTGTCAACATATTGGAGGCAAGCTAGAGATGATAATTTTGTGTTTGGCAAAAAGATAAAGGATTTCTGCCTGCATGCTGCTAGAAGTAAGGGATTGTTCTACAAATGACAGTGAAGGAAAGGGAGTTCTGTTGTTTTGTCAGAGAAGGAAAAGGATTACTGTGCAAATGACTCTCAAGGAAAAGGATTAGACCATGTATGACATGGAAAAGAGACGTCATTGTACATGGAAGGGACAGGGCAATGTGTGTGGTATTTCTCAAGAAATAAGAATATTGTGCCCAGAGTATACCACAGCTGAGACTGGGGGTGCCCCATGCCAGCCCTGCTGGTCTGCTGGGTGTCCAGGACTTTCCTTCTGACTTAGGAATCCCGCCCTCCCAGCTCTAAGATAGATGGTTGTTTTCTACATATGACTAGAGGAGTAGTGTAAGCATAGGCAGATTGCTGGTTTTGTTGTTTCTTTAGGAAAAAAGAATTAAATATCAAGCTGCATAAGAAAAATATGAATGAAATAAAAGGTTTTAATTTTCTCTATGGCACTGAGAAGTGTTTCAGTCATTGTCTCTGTGGAAGTAGATATTTACATTTCCATGATGCAGCAGCCATCAAGCCCCAATTTTGGCTGTGCTTTTCTAAGACATAATAGGTAACAGTACATGTTTGGGGTGAGAGCTGTGGTGCATTGCACCGGTTTTGTATTATGAGAAAGGAGAAGTACCAAGAAGAAGAAGAAGAAGAAGAAGAAGAAGAAGAAGAAGAAGAAGAAGATAGGAATTATTTCTACCTTTATAATCCCAATTTCTGGTTCAGGACTTCCCAGTTATTTGGGGATTTGTTTGTTTTCTCACCATGATCCTGACATCCTGACTCATAACATGTCACTCTCTAGAGCCCTGCAACACTTTGTACCAGGAACTGCATTTCGGAAAAGGTGAAGCTGGGGTCAAACGCATTCCTGCTAATTGTACCGACTGCAGGAAAGTTATTCTGCGATTGAATTTGCCCTCTGAAGTTAAAGGGGGAAGTTGCTAATTGCTTTTAAGGAGGACCCAGAAAAATGACTGCGGGCTGGCCAAGAACTCCCTTGGCCAGGCAGCGCATGCTCCCCCGGCACATGGGAGATAAGCACAGCTAATCTTTTGGGGGAGTGTGGTATGTGAGGAGGATGTGCAGCTCAAACTATGTGAGGGCTTAGAGGGAGATTTACAAAAAATAACCGTGATAGAAAATGGGTTTCTGTACATCCGTGCATTTTGTACTGCTGGTAGTCATTGTGTAGAAGAAATCTACCACAGCAACCTGATCTCTTCAAAGCTGCCACCAGTGCAGTGGCATGGCTCTTTTCTGCAATGTTTTTACAATGTTCTGAATGTCCTCAGGCTCCACAAAGCCTACATCTACTCTTACCATTATCTGACCAGGCAGCATATATGTTTCATCTTGATCTAACCTTTTCTTGTAGTTTTCCTGCTTATCAAATCTGCA